GCAGCTTATTCCGGAAAAGTGGCTGATTTTCCGGAATAAGGGGCCCAGTGTAGACACAGCCAATATGTTAAGTGATATTTGTTTTCATTAGCAGTCAGGTGTCCAAAAGTAGGGCTTTACTATCATTTTACCAGTCGAGTGTTCACATCCCAAACTCATAACTCCGGTCATCTGAAGAAGTGGGCTGTGCCCACGAAAGCTCATGATCCCATCTCCATGCTTTGTGAGTCTATAAAGTGCTACCAGACCATTGGTTGTTTTTTTCTAATCTTGTAAGCACTTGTGAGTCTTCTTTCACAAGCTTATTGAAATCTCTTACCAAATGTTTCAAGTGCAGCACAAGACAAATACCTCCTGGGCACAATGTCTTTGGGATCACAGCCCGTAACACGGCAGAACAGCTCTTGCAGGTTGCCGACTGGCCTTCACTAAGCAGCAAGCAACAGTGACTGAGCTGTGTTACTGGCCCCGTGGGGCTACTGAAAATGATGACCTGCCAGACCCCGTCCCCAAGCAGCAAACCCAGGTGATGCGCTTTTGAAGCTCTGCCGTGACACGTTTTAGCTGCATCGACGTACACTGTGGTGCTCCACGGTGTGAAAGAACAGAACTCAAGGTCTGTGACGTACAATATTTCACACTTGCATTTGTAAGAGACTAGCTTGCTCCTCTCCTTCCTGTCCCTATCAAGGAGCAAGAGCCAAGTGCACAGCTCATCTGGCCCCTGCACTCCCCAGCCACACTGTGCACTTTCCTCTCACTCCTTGTTAAAGAGCAACAGCTGTATGAATTTTGGGGGACTGCTTCAGCTCTCCCCTGCCCTCCCAAAAGGCACCTTGAGGATCGGGGGCCTGGGGTTGGGGCAGTCCTGGACTGGGAGGAGGAGGGGCACCATCAGGCAGCTCCTTTCACCTGCCTGGTGATTCCTTCCTTTTTCTGTATGGTTTTATAAGAAGCAATCCCATTTCAGGCACATCCGATTTTCCTGGCACAGCCACACCCTTACCTTGCTTTGAGCTATGAGGAAGCTGTTTATCTAATATGACCTTCCCAGCTCTTACCGTTTAGGAGGAGTTCTTGAACAAACAGACAGATAAACTCTCTCAAATATACAGTGGATAACATGTTAATATATTTTTTCAAATAGAGGAAAAATCACTTCTGTCTAATTTGGCACCCCTTAAAGCAGGGGTGGGGAACCTCAGGCCTGAATCCAGCCCCTGCCGCTCAGCACTGGGGAGCCCCCACTGGCACTCCAGCCCCCCTGCCACTCAGGTCTCTGAAGCAAACACACAAGGTCCCTGCTAGCTGTCAGCATCTCTATTCCCAGCTCATGTCTCTAAGAACTGAGCACACCAGAGTGGGAATGGGAAGGAGAGTCTGGCCCAGATCCGCAGCTCTGGGAAGCACAAGGTGCAAAGTGACTCTGAGCACCATTCTCTCTTCATCTTGGGCTGCTAGTGGGTCTGCTTTCTACACCTCTCGCCTTTCTCGTCTCTATCACAGGGATGTCACACACATGCCTGCACTTGGGGAGATAATATGCACGACTGGAATATTGGTATAGAAGGGTACAGCTTGCTCAGGAAAGACAGGAAGAGAAAAAGGGAAGAGGTGTGGCCTTCTATGTTAAAAATGCATTCACTTGGACTGAGGTTGAGATGGACATAGGAGACAGACTTGTTAAGACTCTCTCAATAAGGATAAAAAGGGTAAAAAATAAGGGTGATGTCATGGGAGGGTCTACTGTAGACCACCTAACCAGGAAGAAGTGGAGGAGGTTTTTTTGTTTGTTTGTTGTTTGTTTTTTAACAACTAACAGGGTGATGTCATGGGAGGGTCTACTGTCGACCACCTAACCAGGAAGAAGTAGAGGAGGTTTTTCTGTTTGTTTGTTGTTTGGTTTTTAACAACTAACAAAATCATCCAAAGCACAGAACCTGGTCGTAATGAGGGATCTGAATTACCCAGACATCTTTTGGAAAAATAACAGCAATGCACAGATCATCCAACAAAACTTCCTGTCAGGGTGGTTAAGCACTGGAATAAATTGCCTAGAGAGGTTGTGGGAGAGCCAATGGGAACTGCCCGTTTGAATACAAGGCAGCCACAAAATACAAGGCAGCCACAAAATGAGCTTGCTCATTCATTCAAGCACATGGCCAAGCAAGCAGAAACATTTTAAGCTCTGCAAGCCTTTAGCTCTACAGGCAGGCAGGCTGGCTGTTAAGTCTCCTGGCGAGAACCTGCCTCCCTTCCCCAACCCTCTGCCCCACACTCCTGCCCCACTACTCCACATGCACCCATACCCACTCCCAGATCTAGCACCCCAATCCCCTCCTATCCTAGGTTACATCCCAAAACCCTGCACCCCAGTTTCTTGCCCTAGATCACAACTACCTCCTTCGTCCAAACTCCCTCCCAGACCCCATTCTCCCTCCTGCATCCCAATCCCTTACCCCAAGCTCCCTTCTGCACCCAACGTCCATCCCAGACCCCCACTCCTCCTCCATTAATATCAAGGAAGATTGCGGCCCTCGACCACTTTCCAAAATCTGGGGAGTGGCTCCCCATCAAAAATTATTGCCCACCCCTGGCTTAAGGTCACAGCACCCAATTACTAGAAGCAACTCTTCCTGACAGCACACAAGCGGGACTACCCCAGGCATGGCTGCAAAGACCACTAAAGCTCAAGCAACAGACTCTGTGCAGTATATCCCCAAAGAGCTGAGAATCTGGATATTTACTCTTCACACTTCTCTCCTGGGAGCACATTTCTCTTTGATTTGTCAGTTTTCCTTATTCAAGTAAAGGGTTTGTAGCTTGGGCAAAGTGCATGCAGTAAAAGACTCACACACACAGCTCGTCCCAGGCACATTGGTCTTGTTGCACTCCATACCCAGCTATCTCACCCTAGGCATCTCCATCGCTGGGCCAGAGCCAGGACAGAGCTGGCATGCAGCACGCCTGCTATCCTAGGCCATAAATAAATATATCTGTCCAATAAAAACTGCCCATTGGTTTACATTTTGATGTTCTTTTGCACTGGTTGTGAACCTCCAGAAATCAGTTTCAAAGAAGGGGTTACACTAGTGTACAGCTGGGGCAACCGAATAGAGAATCAGGCTCCTTCAACTGATTTCATTTGTTTTCAGGTTATGATTGAAATTAATATGGCTTTTCTTGTTCACAGGTGCACTGATGTCATTTGTGGTGCCTACACCAGTCTGGGAATGGGGCTGCTAAGTAAACACCTGCTACAACAACAGTACAGGAACACAACGCATTATTTGCCTAGGTCCTACACAAGCAATGATTGTTTGCCCCTCTTTTAGTGAAAAAGAGATGGATTTTTTTTCCTTTAGCATTCAGGCTTTGCCCATCTGATTGTAACACCACAACTCAACCGTGTCCTTTCAGTTACTACATAGCACAGTGCGAATGCTAAATTGAGTCCCCTGATGCATGTATCCTGCACAAGGAACCAAATTCTGTGCACCAAGACACATTGTTTTACTTCTTTTTTCTGACAAATATAAATAAACCCAAGAAGCACCATCTTCTGGACTCTGCCATCAGTCTATACATTTCACACTGTCAAAAATTCATTCACAGAGCTGTAAAATATAGAATAGCCACCCTGACCAATTATCACCTATCAGCTTACCCAATTACAAACCCTTGTCCAATCCAGAGGTTTGTTTGCCAAATGATATATTCCATTCAAGCCAGTAGGAAATGAAGGCCATATCTGCCTTACAGAGACTGTGCCAGCACAGATCCTAGCACGGACACAGTGAAAGCTAACAGAAGGAGTTTTATTGCCAACTTAGGAATACCATCTCCCAGAACTACATTAGCTGTGCAGACAAAAGCCCTCTTCTGTCAGCAGAACTGCATCACTATGGGGTTTTGTCAGCATAGCTGTGCTGCTGAGGTGGGTGGGTTTTTTCGCAGTCCGACTGATATAACTACACCGGCATGGTTGTCCTGTGCAGACCAGACTTAGATTTTCAGTAGAAGAGGCCCATTGCCTTGATGCGGTGAGATGCCTCAACTATGATAAAGGGGGGGCTATGTCTAGACTGCCCCCTCTTGCTCAAAAAATATGCAAATGAGGCAAAGCATGGACTATCACTGCACCTCATTTGCATAATTAACTAGGCTCCGTTTTTGCGCGAGAGGCTTTTGCGCAAGAGCCGTTCTTCCCCTTTTTTCAGGAAGAACAGCTCTGAATGAGGTAAAGCCTCTTTCTGCGCAAGAGCCGTTCTTCCCCTTTTTCAGGAAGAACAGCTCTTGCGTGAAAGCCTCTTGCGCAAAAACAGAGCCTCGTTAATTATGCAAACGATGCTAAAGCCTCTTGCGCAAAAACAGAGTCTCGTTAATTATGCAAATGATGCGCTGCAGTATTCCACGCTTCGCCTCATTTGCTTCATTATGCAAAGTCTGGGCAGCTGCATCAACTGAGCAAAACTGCATCTGGGGCTACCCCCTGGGTACGTGGCAGCTCTGACCACCTGAGTGTGAATGCGGCAACCTTCAGTCTGATCATATGCTAGTTCCCCGCTGCAAGGGGTTAGTGTGTTTCACTCTCTCCCCTCACATTGCTGCTATAGAATATATATGGCGTTCCATAGCACAAATCACCGGTGTGACAGGCAGGGTTTGAACAAAAGGAAGTTAGAAATAGACATTCCACTCGGAGAGCTGCATAGATCATTTTTTTCTGACAACAGGGGTAAATCTCTGTGCACATTACGCTCCTCTCCCACAAGATTCTCAGTGTCTCTGATTTCTCATGCTGTGCATTCAGTTCGGAGAGATGTATCCTCCTGTGATACCTTGCCAATGCAATCTATTACTGTGCAGATGAAAACTAAACAGATGAGCAGAGACCAGGCTTATGGCCTGCACCACAGTCTCAACTCCTTGCCTGATCTCCTTGCTACAAGAGCAGATCTTCTAACCAAAGCCCAGAAGCAAACTTCCCCAGTACTCACACAGTGACATAGGGCCATGGCACAGTGCCCTTCTGGGTGGCTGGCAGGTTGGTGGCACCATGCAGAGTGACGGAGATGGATTCCTTCCCAGTGTGCGCCAGGTGCCAGTGATTGGTTTCTGAAGTTCGTGCAGCCTCATCCGCTCCACAGGGTGACTCCACTACCTGCCAGGCACAAGCAGAAGGAACTTCAGCATTTGTTCTTCCCTGATGCAGATCTTCTGCCTCCCACCAACCCACATCTCCAGCTCTGTTCTAAAGGCTCAGGTGTGTACCCTCTGCAAACAAGCTGAGCTTGCATATTTTGCATCTACTTGGAGAGAGGCGTCTTTCCAATGGATGTAAATGTGTCCACTGACTGAGTCCCAGAGCAAAAGTAAATTCATAGATGTCTCTTCTTCTGTCCTTATTCACATGTAACTCCCATGGGCAGAGCGCTGCATGCATACAAAATTTGTATCCACGTCCGCATTTGTAACTGCAAAATGAGCCGTGGATGCAGATACAGGTGACCCCCGACTGACGACCCACCGCATTTACAGCCATTTCTTTCCATGTAAGATAGCTCCTAAAACCTCCCAATTTACTTCCACAGCTCTCATTTACGACGGCGTATGACGCAGACTCCACGTGTCATCCCAAAACAGGAAACGTACACGGTCAGTCAGACTCGCCGTCTGCATCAGTTGCTTGAACTGCGCCACACCGGTCTTCACTTTTTAGTTATTTTTGTGAATTATTTGAACTATTTAGTTTCATTTTCCTCCATTTCTGTAGTCAACTTTGGCATTTTTAGGGTATGAAATGGGTTTCCAGGAATGGAACTGCCATTTATAAGATTGCGCCTATGGGAAATAAGGATTCAACTTATGACAGCTTCACTTACGGAGGTTCTTCAGAAACCAAGTAGGTCATAAGTGCAGAGTCGCCCGTACCCATGGATACAAAGCAGATATGTGCAGATTTGCAGGACTCGACCTCCAGGAGTAATACATGCAGAGGATGAGGAGTTCACAACCCAGGAAAAGGAGCTGTGAGAGCCCACAGCCTCCCCAACAATGCCCTGCCAATGTGCCTCAGCCAAGCCAGCAGAGTAGACTCCTCCAGGCAGGAGGAATCAAAGTTTGTACAGCCCTGTCATCTTCTCTGCTGAAACTGCCAACCAGGGAGCTAATCAGCAGAGAGCAGGAGGGAGGCGGAGATGAATGCAAAGGAATGTGGAGTTAGAAGGTAGAACATGAGCGGGTGGGAAGTTTGGAGTGCAGGAAGGAGACTGAAAGGGTAGGGAATGGATAGAAGACTTTATGCTAATGAAGCCCGGGAAATTCAAATCCCGGGCTTCATTAGCAAGTTCGGTATGCATACATTACCCCCCTAGTTCAAACTAGGGGGGTAGTGTAGACATACCCAGAAAAGGTAGGGAATGGAGGAGAAAGGGTAGAGAATGGATAGAAGACGGTGAGGTTGAAAGAGGGAACATATGGGCTGGCAGATGAATTGAGAGCAGGCGACTGGGTGGGAGAGAGAAGCAGGGAGGGAAGGGGGACAGGGCAATAATGAAGTGGGGGCAGTGTAGGCATACACAGGCAGCACGCTCGCACCAGGAGTCGGGGAGATTAACCAGCGCCTGCATCTCTGGAGATGCACAGAAGGTTGAAGCACACACAATTTGGGCCCAGTAAAGGCACAAAACTTAGGAAGTAACCAGCCCTCTCTCCCCCACAAGGAATTATCAATATGGATGAATGTTGATGCCTGATGGGCAGGCGCCTCCCTACCTTGGGAGCTTTTCCCATGTTTGACTTCAGCCAGAGGGCAGCGCTCTAGGCCCCTCCTGTGCCCCTGGAACCCACTGCTCCCTCTGTGCAGGGAGCTGGTGAGAGGGGTGAGGAGCAGGCAGCCAGCCAGAGGCAGCACAGGAGAAAGGAGCTCTACCCCTACCAGGGGAGGCTGGAAGTGCAAGGCCTAAACAAAAAGCACCCCGCTCAGCTCAGTGCTGAGAGTCTGGCTGAGGAGGGAACAGGCTGGGGTGGCGACCCCCCTGCACACACCCATGGCAATGGGCCTGTACTCTTGTGCCTTGAGCACACACGCTGCCTCTGCTCAGGCCTCGGGAAGAAATGCTCTCAGACCTCCGGTGGGCACCCTGGTTACTGCCTCCACGAGCAGCGCAGGTGCCCCGTGGCGATTGGCCGGTGAGGGTTCTGAGTTGTGTGACAGCACAGTGAAAGGGCCCGGGCAGGGCTCGGGATTGGTTGCCCTCACAACACACAGGCTGGCAGGGAGGGCCTGTCTACACAACACCCCGGCTCGGGATTGGTTGCCCTCACAACACACAGGCCGTCAGGCAGGGCCTGTCTACACAACACCCGACCTGCTTCAAACCTGGCTCGGTGACACTAAGAAGATAAGAACATAAGAACGGCCATACTGGGTCAGTATGGTGGAGGGGGGCAGGTCCTAGAGGGCTGAGGGCAGTGAGAAGGACAGGAGTCAGAACAGCAGAGGAGGATGAGGGGTTGGGGGGCAGCAGGCACCAGGGGAGCTGATGGAGCAAAGGGGGGAGACATGGCAGCAGAGGGAAAAGGTCGAGGTTCATATGATATTTATTAATAACCTGGGTGCCACGGTGGCACATGCAAACAAGCCACATGAACTCAGTACTGGTGCAAAACACAAAATTCATTCTGCTCATGGGAGGAAACTCTTAGAGGGGACACTTCCTCCAGCCTCTCCACCTCCGAGTTAATGTGACCCAAATTGGGGTAATGCAACTGCAGAATAGTTGCATGAGGGGGGTTTGGTGGGAGCCAAACTAATCCCTATTGGTAGGAAGATGGTGGGTCACGTGACACCTTTTACATCTGGTCATGAGCCCATCTTGCCCCGAGAGTGTTACCTCCAGAGGTCTGGCTAATGGGAGTCAGGGGTGTGGCTAATGGGGGTCAAAATTCTTTGGGTGCACTCCCTAATGAAATGTGCTGCACACGCCTATGGTTACAACCCTATGAGCAGCACCGCTTGGCGCCTGCTTCTAACATGAGGCACGACAGACAGGCTCCCGCTGACAGTGAAGAGAGAACAGCACCCAGCAGCAATCAGTCTCTCCAGCTACTTGCACTTGTTACGGCAATTAGCAAAAGGTTCCAAAACGTCAGCTCCAGGCCCACCAACTAGGGCTGCCAGGTGTCCGGTGTTGAACCGGACAGTCCAGTGTTTGAGCTTTCCATACAGGAAACAAACTGAGAAATAGAAAGGAGACTGCAGAACTGTCTGGTGTTTTCTAAATAAGATGGGATGTAGATTGGGATGTCATGTCACGCTTGTCCGGGTAAGATGGGATGTAGATTGGGATGTCATGTCACGCTTTTCCGGGATTTTTGTTGGAGCCATCTGACAACCTCCAACAGCGAGGGGGGACGACAAAGGGGGCCCTTGTTCCGAGGCCTGGCAATTCAAAGGGGCCAGGGCTTACAGCCCCCCTGAACTGCTGCTCGAGTGCCGAAGCGTCGCTCCGAACGGCTGAGAGCTGGGAGGGGAAACATGTTCCGGGCAGCACTGAGGGCTGGCTGCCCCCATCCCACCCCTTTTGGCACATGCAGCTGCCTCCTCCCTGGCCACAGGGTCTGCAATAAATCTCAACTCTGCTAGTCAGCCCTGCGTCTCACAACAGAAGGCAGGAGATGTGTGACAGACCCAAACTGCCCAAATACACCCACATATACACAAACACACAACGGGTACCAATATACACACACACATATATAAATACACGTGTACACAAACACGTACACAAACATGCACACACATCTACAGACACAAATGCTAATACACATACACACACACCAGTCTTATTAACTACTAGCCAATTAGCCCGTCATAAGACGGAATTTTCAGGTCTCTCCTCCACGTCGGTCTTCTCTCCTGAGCTTCCGGTCTCTCGCTCTGTCTCTCTCTCTCTCTCTCTCCTCCTACTGCCTCCCCCCCTCTCTCTCTCAGCTCTCCTCTGCCTCCTGCCTCTCTCTCCATCTCTCTCTTTCTCTTCTCCTCCCTCTTCCCCTCCTGCCTCTCACTCGGGGGACCGCGGAACCCAGATGGCCGTTTGGGCCCCGCACTCCCCATGAGCACAGGCCGCCCAGAGGGAACAGCCAGCATTTCAGTTACAGACTCTCAGACATTGGACCACTATATATATATAGATCAGATATCATGACATTTGCTCTTAAAATTCCCCCATCCCAGCAGCTCACTGGGATTGGACAGGCTGGTGGGTTGATCCAGCCTATTCTGCTGCCAATTCCTTAATCAGTTGACAAGCTCAGTCTTCACCTCAGCTTTCCCTTTGCTCTCTCCTCCAGCCTCTGGTGTGTGTGCCTTAAGCAAGTGGGTCAGTGGCCCCTGACCCAAAACAGTTGTCCCCCCCACACACACACACACACAGTTAGTATCTATAAGCACAGCAAACACATCTAACCAGCATTGCCTCTTATTCCTAACACCACAGGCTGGCATTTCACAACTGTAGCCTAACTAGCACTGAAGGGCCTTAATTACCATTTACCTCCTTGTCTCCCCTGCCTCTAGGCTGAAGCTGGGTCAGGTGGCCTGGGACTGTTGAACCTTTCAGGCCACGTGCCCTACTTGTTGCAGCCATGATCCTAATGGCCACATTTTAATCAGATAACACTTTAATCACCTGGGCAAGGTGAGGGAGGCCTAGCTCCTGTTCCCAGACAGGGCAGGGCCTTGGGTGGAAGGGCCAGGGCCTTGGGTGGAGGCAGCAAGCTCTGAGCACTGCCCACAGAGGCCTATGTAAGCCCCAGTGCAGTCCACACTGTGGCAGGCCTTCCCTCAACCCTTAGCACTGTGCAGACCTCGGCTTGCCTTCCCTCCACCCTCAGCACTGCGCAGACGGTGGCATGTCTTCCCTCAATCCTCAGAGCTACTGTCAAGGCTGTTCCCCACTCTGGCACGACAAATGCAAAAGTTGGGGGGCCGCAAGAGTGCTCCAAACGCTTGCATCTACAGGCTTCGGTACAAAAAACTTCCACAAAATCCTAATACCCAGATTTTGGGGGATCCACTGCCATCATCAAGTGCTTTTGAACCCCCAAAATAAATAAAAAACCAGGGGTTGACACTTGAAACCAACCCCAGGGGTACCCCAAGCCCTTTTTTCCCCAAAAGCGCTTGAAAAAGGAGAGAGAGAAAGAAGCTGCAGTCTCTGGTAGCTGACCCCTCAGTCAGAGGCATGTAGATACACACCGATAGACCTCCTAGGACACACGAATCAACCAATACCGGTTAATTAGAAAAAAGAAACAATCTTTTATTATCAAAATAAAACTACAGTTGGAAGCATAGTAAAGTGGCTGGATGGAAAGAGCCACCAATTGATATAGATACTCAGGGGAAGTCCCTGGGCTAAAAGCCTTAGTTACAAAATTAAAAAACACAATTAACAGCTCAGACATTATTTGCAAATCCCCAAAAAAGGAAAACAATAAATCCTGATGGACTAGCTAAACTTTTCCTTACTTACATATTATAAGTTTGTTATTGGAGAGAGAAGTGTCTCCCATCTCCCTCAGTACTTGGAAGAAACTGCTCTGCCTCTCAAATGGAGAGAGGAAAAAACCCTGTCTTCCAGTTTGAAATTCCTATCTGTATTGTTGGCTGACCACCTGATACATGGCTAGATACAGGCAACATTAATTAACCCCTTTGTCTCTGGGTGCTGATCAGCACGCCTGATTATGACAAGGCCAGAGTTAGAAAAAGAGAGTCAGATAAGTTAATGGAGGATAGGTCCATCAGTGGCCATTAATCATAGTGGTCAGGGAAGCAATCTCTTCATATGTCCCTGAACTTCTAACCACCAGAAGCTAAGACTGGAAGATGGGATGGATCAAGTGATAAGTATGCTGTTCTGTTCAATCCTCCTGAAGTATCTGGCAGTGGTTACTGCCAGAAGACAAGATAACGTGCTAGCTGAACCATTGGTCTGACTCAGTATGGATAACTACATTTTTTTTTAATCCAGATATGGAAAGCTAAGTTTTTCAAACTGCTTATTGAAAAATATATCTAACAGCCTTGCTTTTGACTTGTTTGAAATTCTATTTATTTAGACTGGGGTGGGACCCTGAGGTTAGATGCAGCCCCTGCTTGCCTGGATCCAGTGCCCAAGCACTGTGGGCTCTCCCTCATTATTGGGGAGCCCACATTGGCACTCCAGCCCTCTCTCCCCCCTCCATCATCCCCACATGGGTCTGGAGCACACAAAATCTACTAGCCTGGCCCCCTGGTGTGCAAAGGGAATGTGGGGAGTGTCTTTCTCCTTAGTTGGGTGCCATGATATTGAGGGTTTGATTTTACATTTTTGCTTCTTACCTGTGTGTGGCTCCCAACTGATTTTTTTTTTCTGTGGGTCAGCAGCCCCCAAACCAGAAAAGGTTCCCCATTCCCGATTTAGACCTTGATTTAACCATATGCAGTCAAACGCGTACCTTCTATAATGCAAGTTACTGAAATGACAGTAGGGATGCAAAGGACCCAAAGTATTGAGATGCTATACAGCAAAAGCTTCTCCAAATATTAGTCATTTTGTTTTTCTTTTAAAATTGAGTTGAGCTGAGCCATTTTTTAATCTCTTCAGGTTGGCATGATAGATACTCCTATAAAATAGGTTTTTAAAGGGGTTTTTATTAATTTTTCAGTGTTTTACCAAATTAAATGACTGTCACAGTTGGAAATAAACAGTTTTAGAGGCTCAAAATTGAGTGACTAATTAGAGAGATATCCACTTTCAAACTGATTCCATGGCTGCTGAGCCATTGAGACTACACAGACCATTTAGGCTACGTACTCAGAGTTTACTCTGAAATTCAGAGATGATACAATGAACAGTCACCGAAGACTGCTGTCCTTTTTAGATTACATCACCACTGTGATTAAAAAAGCAAAGGAGCGGAGTCTCAGTGCCCAGCTCAGCTGACTTGGGTTTGCCTGGTCTTAAGCTGCAGGTCTCTTGAGTGTCTCAGAGCCCGGGCTTCAGCCTGAGCCCATCTACATCTACACTGCAACTTTTTAGATCAAGGGCGGGAAAAACATAGCCCATGGGCTATGCTGCAGGA